TATATATATAAACCAGCTGCTTTCACAAACTTTAAACTAGGTTTTTGGTTTTTATTTTTTTAAACCAGCATGGCCTTCTTCCTCAGTTGTGGGACTGAGACCTTTTGAATGTCTAGTAAAGTGGTTTTAAACAATTCCTAAGTATCGTTCCCATTTTCTTGATTACATTTTTTCAGTTAATTTGGCTCATAATTATAAGAAAAATATATAAACCAGCTGCTTTCACAAACTTTAAACTAGGTTTTTGGTTTTTATTTTTTTAAACCAGCATGGCCTTCTTCCTCAGTTGTGGGACTGAGACCTTTTGAATGTCTAGTAAAGTGGTTTTAAACAATTCCTAAGTATCGTTCCCATTTTCTTGATTACATTTTTTCAGTTAATTTGGCTCATAATTATAAGAAAATAAGAACATAAGAACGGCCATATTGGGTCAGACCAAAGGTCCATCTAGCCCAGAAGCCTGTCTTCCTACAGTGGCCAATGCCAGATGCCCCAGAGGGAGTGAACAGAAACAGGTAATCATCAAGTGATCTCTTTCCTGTCATCCAATTCGAGCCCCTGATGCACAGAGGCTAGGGACCATTCCTACCCATGTTGGCTAATAAGTATTGATGGAATTGAATTATTTTCAGCTTTTTGGCCCCATTTAAGCCCCAAGTATATATATTACTGATCTGGTTTTAGTCTGTTTGCACATTATAAATATGATCAAGTCCTGATCATTTGTACTTAAGCTACCGTTAATTTTTAGTTCTGTGATTAGTTTCCTTTTGTCCTTTAGAACAAGATTTAATTAAGAATTTCCTCATGTTGATTGCAACACTTCTTGTGATTTCTAGTAGGCATTGCATAGGGGTAAGGTAAGCTCTGCTCTGTAACTCTGATCTGTACATTGATCAAAGATGTCTGTTTGCTATGGCTCCCACTCCTGCCCAGTTAGGCAAGTTAAGATAATAGATGCTAGACTAAATTTGGAGGGAACTGGGATAGATACACTAATTTTCTGCAAGAATCTTTGAAAGACTTACTGAATTAAGTTTAAATAACTTTGGAATCCATTGTATTAAAACCACAAAGTGTATGTATTATTGTGGAATTGCATGTAACTTCTCTAAAGGTGGACCTGACTAGTATAAACCCTGGGAAGTGTTATGCACATCAAAGAACTATTTGAAACAACATGCCAGACAAGAAGGAACTCCGGAGACAAACCAATTAAGCAAATGTTCTGGGAAATCCCTAGGGGGAATGTGCAAATGTACCATTTCCATTTATGCAAAAATCCAGCCTTTTGAAGCTATGCCATGAAGCGGGAACCTTTGTCTGCTGATCAGCTATTATACAAGGACAGGATCAACATCCAAGATGTATAAAGGAAAGAATGAGCTAGTCATGATTTTTCTGAGCTAAAGGGATGATGAACTTGTAATCACGGTGTGACGGCGCGTCATGGTTTTCCCATCTCCTGCACCCCTGTAGTGGCACGAACAGACTCCACCAGCCAGTAGAATAGAGGGAGTTTATTGCTTCTCCAGGATACAGCACAGCACAGATGTAATCTGGTTACAGGAACTGGGGCTAGGGGGCCTCAGTGCCCCCCCTTGAGATGGGGGGTGGCTGGGCCCTACAATCCCATCCCCTTCCCTAGCTCCTTCTCCCCTGCTTCCCAGACCGAAACTAACTCCCTCTTCCAGCCCTGCCCCCAGCCAGGGTTCCACTCCCCTTCTTCCGATTGTTCTGCCCCCTGGTAGATAGCTGGTCAGACCGGTTTGGAGCCCCCTTTGCATAATGACTCATCCTCTGCCCTGCTGGGCTGTGCTACAGACAGCAGCCAGTGGAGGCCACTCACAACCCACTGCCCAGCATAGCAACCAGCAAGGTACCCCTCACTAAATCACACACAGATAAAACCATGTGTGGGATGAAGGACTGACTTCCACCAGAGCCCTGGTTGGATATGGGGGGGAGAGGGGTAATATCGGATACACTTATTAGCATGCATGCAAGTTTTTTTATTGTTCTTACTATGTTTTTGTTGTTATGTTTTCTGCTTAGAGTAAATGTGCTTGCTTAGCAAGGGCTGTATGGTTAGTTGGAGGAAACAAAGGCAGGCACAGGCCTGCGCAGGAAGTCTGCCTTACTGGGGAACTCCTACTGTAGGGAGGAAACTGTGCAATCCAGAGAAGCCCCTGTGAGGAAGGAGAGAGAGAGAGAGGGAGACAGCTTTCCTCCCAGGAGAGTGACAGTTGAACAGTTGAATCCAGATAGCTGTTCTTACTGGGACATGGAGGGCAGTTGCTTTGAACTGTAATAGAAATAAATGCTGAGACTGAACATGCTATGCTCTGAAGGTGAAAAGGGGAAGCTGCCAGGCCCTGTCAGTAATCCCCGAGGCTGCCTCCCCTGGGGAATGGTATGTAATGGGGGGACAGGGCATGGTGGTGGTGGGAAGGGGCACAGCTTGGAGATGGGGACAGACACGTCCCAATGGCCACTGGGACTCCTGGAGCGGATTGTGAAAATGCTTTGGTCATAGATGACCCGCAGGCTGTGAGTTTGAGACCGCTGAGCTAGACTTTGATGCAGGAGGAGACAAGAAAACCATGATGGGATTCAAGGAGGGTAGTGTGTGTGTGAGTCATGGTCAGAGCAAGAGATGGGGTGGGTGATTTCCACTCCAGCTTTCCAAATAGTGGAGAGGAAGAGCTAAAAAGCCAGTACAGAAGAGAGGATGTTGACCTGAGGGAGAAATGCTGTGGCTATAACTAAACATGTAGTCAATGTATATATAATAGGATCTTAGGGTGATACAACATGTTTCAATCCACAGGCCGTTGTCTGGGACAGGAACCATTTTTTTGTGAACGTCAAGTCTGTTTTTGAATAAATCTCCTTTGGAACTCATTGTGTGTGCAGTGCCTTCAAGCGTTCATTTTATCATCCTAGAAACAGGCAAGGTAAATTTCTACTTGATGTGGAGACCTGCATCAGGCCTTTGGCAAGAAGTGGTGCATTTCAATCACTGCTGCTATATAATTAAGGGACCATAAAATTCTGCTCTTGTATTCTTCTCCTAGTTTTGGAATCACATTTATAAGGGGCCCCTGTTACATATTTTACTACTAGTCATTGTCATATAAACAGCACAAATCTATCAACGTTGGCTGCTAGTTATAAAAGACACCTTCATTTCACAGCATGTGTTGCCCATTACTTTTGTCCCAAACAGAGGCTGCAGGCTGTCCATTAGCTTTGACACACACTGTGTCCGTCCACTAGCTCCAATACAGTACACTTGCTGCCCATGAGATTTGGATTGCAAAACAGACATTAGGCTTGGTTAACCAAGACACATATCTGAGTAAGAGCTCCAGGTTAGAGCAGTTTTATTTATAATCTTCCAATCTATCAATATTTCATTGCAATGGAGGACTAGGTGAGCAAACGTAAATCACTCAGTGTGCCTGGATTGTTTCAAGGGGGGATACTTTGCAGTTTAGTTTCATACAGTGGGTGTGAATAACTCCCTTTCAGTCTCTGCTGAAGTTGCTCTGTATAAGCATGCCTGTGACCATGGGCAACGGGTGACTGTAGGGCTGGGGGAGGCAAGCCCTCAACCCTGCCCCTTCTTTCTGAGGCCCTCCCCCCCCATGAGAG